GACCCCCAATATCCCAGAGTGTTAGGTCCCCAAGCAGCAATGCTTAGTTAAAAAGGACAATCACTTTGGACCTCAGCAGGCCTACCCATAAAATGAGTTTGAACTAGTAATCTCTAAGGTCCCTTTAAGTTTTAAAGTTGTAAAATTCTAAAACAAAGATCTGAATGATAATAATAACAGCTAGCATTTATATAGAACATTAAGGTCTGAATAGCTTTTTACAAATATTATCTCATTTGATCCTCACAACCACCGTAGGAGGTATAGGTGATATTATTATCCCTGTTTTGTAGATGAGGAAAGTGAGGCAGAGATGCCACTCCCCACCCCCATCCCCAGCAGAAGGGGAGTCCTATTCCAAAGAAGTACCTAAGACCCCACTGGCAGGGACAATGAGGAAAAGGCAGTTGAATCTGAGTGCCTGTTTCCCTTCCACCAAAATAATCCCTAACCATCCTGCCCCCCACTTCCAACACATGTGGGCTGGAGGAAAAAACCCCAGTTGTAGGCATAGATAGGGTAGGCCAGTTCCTTCTATCCTCAGGAGAGTACGAGGGCTTACAGTGGAGGGGAGGAAGAACAGGAAGAGGAAGAGGAGAAAGAGATCCTGACTCTGTCCAGACCTCATGAGGTGGAAGTGACAGACAAGTCCCAAGATCTGCAGGATGGACTAGAGACCAGGCTGTATGTAGCTGCCTGGCTGTGGCCACCCATTGGTGGAGGTGTTGCTAAGAGAGTTGGAGGGCTTGGCTGAAGACCACAAGAGGGCGGAGCTGCCGATGACTAAGGGAAGAACTTAGCCCAGCCCATTCCCCCAAATGGGGGGAAGGGAGGGGCGGGACAGGGGGTGACCCAGACAGCGGCCAGTGAATGGCCCCACCCCACCATGCTTGGTGACATGCTTGGCAGGGCAGGCTGGATAGGTAGTGGGTCTCCCGCTAAGCCAGCCAGGCATGAGGTATGCCGGGTTCCCAGGATCATCCTGGGACCGGTTTATACTGGCCTCCTAACCCACACAGGATTCAGCTACACCCCCACCCCCACCCCCACCCCCAGTGGGGAGACAGCTGGCTGGAGGAATGCAAGGGCCCCTGCCAGGCAGGCAGCCGGGTGGGCGGGAGGAGGCTCATGTGCAGCCGGAGCACGCCTTATATGGGCACGGAGGCCACCCGCTTATCAGGGGGCTGGGCTCCAGCTCAGACGGTGGGAACTGGGCACCTGTCCTTCAGGCTGGGGGGAGCACCCGCCTAGTCTCTCCCCACATTATGATGCCTCTTCTTTCCTTCTCTCCCTCTCCCCTCCAAGAGGTACCCCAGCATGTGCACACCTTGGTCTCACCACTGCTGTCAGACTCAGACACCTGGTAGGTGAGGTCTGTCTCTTCAAAGCCTGTGGCACTCATTCGCTGGTCTGTGGTGGGGTCTGAGCGTGGTGGTGAGTCTGGCGAGTTGAGGCAAGTCTGGATTAGTGCCTTGCCAGTCTCGCTGGTGATCATGGGCTGCAGTTTTCGAGTGGCAAAGGTGTATACATGTCCCGTTTCACTGGCCACAAGGAGCAATACCTGTGTTCCTGTCAGTGTAGATAGCTCATAGGCCTGGAAGCGAGAGGAAGAAGTGACTGGGTCAACAAAGAGCAGGAAAACCCCTATAAGACCCTCAAAAACCTCTTAACTCCCATGTTCCTCTGAGGTATAGTGGAATAGATTATATAATGACCCTGGTCTTAAGACTCTATGTGGACCTGAGTTTCTATCAGATTTCTTAGAACATTAGACGTTGAGCTAGGAGGGTAGCACATTTAAAACATATGTACCCCCCACCATGATACTTCAGCTAAGTACCCCCTCAATCATCCTCAGGGCAATACAAGCATTCCTCTAGCTAGTTATACTTTCCAGGTCCCTCTTGATGACCCTCCAGTCAACCCTAGGGAAGAAGGAGAAGCCCAGTTCAGCTGCTCTCCTATCACTTGGGCAGATTCAATGCTTCCAAGCACAGCTGCTGGGAGGCTTAGGACACATTCACACAACACACACCACACACACACACACACACACACACACACACACACACCCTCCCTCCACTTTGCTTCCCCCCTTCTAAGTCCCCCACCGTTTTGAAAGGCAAGCAGGGCATTAGGAAGAAACATGTGTCTGGGATTTCCACAAACAGCTGAAGTCACCTTCCTGTCCAACATGAGCCATCCTGGGATACATGCTAGGTTGCGTGCCCTTTCTCACCCTTGGCAGAACTTTTAATGCCATCACCTTTCCTTTAGCTCCTGAATTCTAACAGTAATGGCTTAGTTGCTATTAACCCCCCCCCCTTTTAGGGGTTAATATCAATATAAACAATGTCCAGAGATCTTGGAAATAATTTAATCTTGTCCCACTCCCTCATTTTGGAGAGGAAGAGTATCAGGGCCCAGAGAGAGGAAGTGAGTTGTCTGAGCTGGTCATCCAACTATTTCATGAAAGAATTAGGATCATAACCTGGGTTTCTGGTCTCCCTGTCTAGGGCTCTGTCTGCTGGACACCAAGCTGCCTCTTTGACCAATGCTCTGCTTAGCCTAACCAGTGGATCTCTAAACATACCAGCCACAATAATCTTCCTCTCAGTTTAGGAACTTTTCACAACTTAAAGCCTGTTTCCATGCACCTGTATTCTGGTCACAGAGGTGAGACTCCTATTTTGTTTAGAGGATCACTCTTATTGATTACTCTACTTGGACCAAGGGTTGGAGTCTGTGGGAGCCAACTCACAGTTATACCGTAGATCAGGCTTCCCACATTACTGAGGGACAGGCAGTAATATCACCCCCAAGACCACTATAACAATGCTAGTTTCTCCACTGGGCAGATACAAGGATAGCACTCCCAAGGCTCTGACATCTTGTTCTCCAAGCACCTATTCCTCTCTAACCAGAAAGCAATCCCCTCAATCTCAATTAACAATTTAGACTCCTCCTCTTCCCATCCCCTTTTACCGCTTAGGAAATTCAGGCCTCTTCCACAAAAGAGAGAGTAAAACTACCTAAGGGAATTGGGATTTGATGTTCAGGTACAGTACTACCCATTACTCGAACTTTCCCTCAAAACACTATGCACATTCCCACTTTCTCTGGAAAACTAGACAATTCTTTCTTTTTAAGATCTAGGGGGTTTCCTCTCCCCTCCCCCCATGCTTCTCCTCTACTTCCCCTCACAAAGCTCATTGATGTCTGTTTTGTGTGTCAGACCTCATACCTACCTGAGCTTGTAACTTACCACCATAAAATATAGATCTATATCAAGATAATCTAGATATATCTATATCTACCTATCTTTATATCTCTCTAGGTATCTAATCTATATACAGATATAGAGCTCTCTGTGTATATATGAGTATAGATCTATCGATATAGCTATGTATCTATCTATATTATAGCTATAGATTTAGAAGTAAAGCTATATTGATGGATAGATATCAATCTAGACCTCTGGACATCCATTTCCCTATCTCCCCTCCTCCACTTCTGTGGGACTCAGTCCGTGTTCCCCGGAGCTCAGTGGGGCCTTAGCTTCCTTCCCCCTTCCTCGGGGCTGCCCATCTCACTCTGACAAGGTAAGTGGACCATTGTTGCCGCTGTTCTCTCCATCTTTACACACACCTTTCTGCCTCTCCTCCTTCCTTCTTCATTTTAGTGCCTTCCCTGCACACTGCACTCACACCTGCCCCACCATGCCCCGAGCCTTGTTACTCACCCCTTCCTGGCAGCCTCTGACTTGTCCTGTTACTACCTCCGCTCTCTCTCTCCATCCCAAACATCTCCACGGCCCACGATTCCTCCTCCCTCCCTCCCCCTTTATTACTCACTGCCTCCCACTTCCACACTCCTGGTCCCTCTCGGGCGTGGGGCACCTTCTTCCTCCTCTGCCCGGTCCCCTGCCCTCCCCAGCAGGGTCTCCCCGATCCCCCAGCCCAGGTGGCACGCCGGGCTCCCGCACCACCTTCCATTCATCACCTAGGTCCTCCTCCTCCTCTTCCCGGACGCCCCCCTCCGTTTCCTTCCCCAGCCGCCGGGTCTGTGCCGGGTCGTCCGGCCGGACCCCCCGCGTCGTTACCTTCTTCATGATGCCCGTCTTCCTCTTGCTGAAGGTCGTGTAGCGCCGCAGCTTGTTGTCGATGAACTCCATCTTGATCTTCACGCGGCCGCGGGTCTTCTTGCCCGGTTTGGCCCCGCTCACGGCGCCGCTCACGGGGCCGTAGCCCCCGGCCGCCGCCGCCGCCACGGCCGCCGCCGCCGCCGCCTCGGAGCCGCCGACCACCACGCCGAGTTCCATGTCGCTCAGGCCGCGCTTGAGGCCACGCCGCTCGGCGCCCAGCTCCTCCTCGTCACCGGACTCGGAGTCGCCCTCGCTGCCGCTGTACAGGGTCCCCGTGGCCGCTGCCGCCGCCGCCGCCGCCGCTGCAGCCGCCGCCGCCTCCCGCTCCAGGCGGCCGGGCCCCAGCGCCGCGCCGTTCCCGGGGCCGCGGCCCCCGTTAGCCCCGCGAGTCCCGCCCGGCCGCCCCGTCGGGGCCCGGACCAGGCCGCCCCCCAGGGCCGAGCCCCGGCCCAGCGCCGCCGCGGCCCCAGCCTGGCTCGGTAACATGGCGCTCAGTACGGGCGGGCTGGCGTCCGGACGGGCGGGCAATCAGCGCGGGGCCGGAGCTGCTGCTGCTGCCGCCGCCGCCGCCGCCGCCATTGGCCTCCGCTCCCCGCCCCGACTCGGCTCCTGCTGCTGCGGAAGGCTGCCGCTCCTGCTCCTGCGGCCACCGCCGCCGCCGCGGCGAGCCCGGGGCCCCTTGCACGGCCCGCTCCGGGCCCTCACGCTCCTGCCCCGGTGGCCCGGGTTGCCCCAGACCGCGTGCAGCGCCCCCTGTCCGAGAGCTCGGGCGGCGCGCCCCGCGGCCGTCAACGTGCCCCCGGGGGCTGGGGCTGAGGCAGCAGCTGCTGGCGGCAGCGGCGGCGGCGGCGGCGGGCGGGCGGAGGGGGCTGGGACCACGCGCTGTCGGCGGAGGGATCCCCCGACCCTTCCCCCCATATAAAGAGATACAATGTTTCCTTTTATGGCGAGGCCGCTCCTTATATGGTGAGCCCCAGCGCCCCCGCCCTATTGGTCGGCGGTTCCGGCACCTCCGTCTCCCATTGGCCCGCCTTAGGGGGGGGCCGTTCATTTGCATTGGCATACCAGGCCAGCTGCTGTCATTCTAGCGTCAGGCCGAGGCGCGGAGTCCGGAGGGTCCGGCGTCTCTTAAAGAGACAGGAGTTTGGAGCGAGTACGGTCTCCGCCCCCTCCGCACGGTAGGGGTTGAGAGAACCTAAGGATGGGGTGGAAGGGGCGGAGGGAAACCCGGGAGATGAAGCGGGTTAGAGCGCCCGTCCCGGGGAGGGGAGGAAAGGTCTGAAGGCAGAGGAAAGGAAATTGGAACCTTGAAGGGGTAGGAATGGGGAGGCCCAGGCTGTATCGGTGAGAAGGCTGTGCAGGGGTCCAGGTTTACTAAAAGGGGCACCATGGAAAGAAGCATTCCGGAGGTGGAGGTGGGGGAACAGAAAAGAGGGACTGTGCGGCTGGCCTTGACCCCAAGTGTCCAGACCTCAAACATTCCTTCCCAGTCTCTCTCTTAATTAGGGCTACAATTTAAAGGGTCAGCTCCTTGGTCTTCATCCATCATCTTCCACCACGGGGTAAGGGGAAGACCTTCGGAAGAATTACATCAGGAAGAAGAAAAGGGACTTCTGGTTATTTAGAGCTGTAACAGAACCAAAGAGGTCATTAAGTCCAGCCCTTTCATTTTACCAATGAGAAAACTGAGGCACAGAGGAAGTTTAAGTGGCTCAGCCCGGAGTCACACAGCTAATGTCTGAGATCTTGACTTGCATTTTTTTCTGGGGAGGGTGAGGGGGAAGTTTGAGGGTTTGAAACCACAGCTTCTACTTACAAGATGAGGCCGGGAGAAGTTTAAGAGCCCTTGCAGAGTCATGTGCGGCAAATAGCAAGACAAAGGAAGGAACCTTTGTTTACTCTCCCCCCCCCACCCCCAAACATCGGGTGGAAGAGATTTTTGAAAGTAGAGAGAATAAAAAAAGTCAATGTTATGATCTCTTTTCTTAGGAAAAATGAAAACTAACAAGAATGGTTATCTATAGGAGTTAGAACTGGAAGGAACTTTGGAGAGCCTTTACAGCCCCTTGGGCTCCCTCTCCCTCCTTTTACAGAGGATAGTGGAGGCACACGATAGGAAGTGGCTGTGAATGATTAAATTAAGGAGCAAAGCTAGGGTTCAAATCCACATCTTCTGACTTCCAGCAGACACCGATGGAGTGGAGGGCTGTTTCACTCACTGTATATCTAGCACCTAGCAAATAATAATGTTGGCTGACTGATAGGTGAACATGGACTTGTTTATTAACTCCCACAATACTAATGCAAAAGTTAATAATCCCTGTATCCCTTCTCAAGCTTGAATCCCTAGGTTATTTTAGGAAAAAATGTAAAATACAAACACATAATATTCTATGAAACATGAAAAGATCTGATTTCATCAGCAGAGTCTCAAACTATGACTTTATTTACTAGATAAAAATCCTAGGAAGTTTCTTGAAGCAAGGCAAGATTTCTGCTCAACTTTTGCCCATGAAAATGAACTTGGTAAGAGGAGGCATCCATAAAGGGGTATTTAGGAATATATGGGACTAGAGATCCATTTATGACTGGGAACAGGAAAGTCAAATGTTGCTCATGTCTGGCCCAAGCCACAACCCTAGGCCTTACTCCAGCTGCATCTCAATTCTCTCATTCAATTCTGTAATTGTAGAAAGAGCCCTGCATTTGAGATTCAGAAAACCTTAAGTCACAGCCTCTGAACACCAGCTTCCTGATGTGTAATATGAGGATAATGAAGCAAAACCTAACAGGATTCTTTAAAGCTTGTATAAATGTAAGTTATTACCCATATTGTCTGATGTTTTAAACCCTTTTTCTAGCAAGGTCATACTTGGGATTCTCAGCTTTAACCAAGGAAATGAGAGAATGTGACACTTCCCTGTTCAACCCTCTTTTCCTCCTCTTTAGGTTACAGTGAGGTTTTCCAACAGACATCAGCAGACCCAAGCATGGGGTACAGGATCACAGAACTGAAGCTAGAAGGGACCTCAGAGGCCATCTGATTTCCATCTGTCCCTTTCCCATTTTACAGATGAAGAAATGAGACCCAGAGGTGTTAAATGAATTTGCCCAAGGTGGTCACAAAAGGTATATCATGGTAAATTTGAACTCAGGTTCTCTGATACCTGCATTTAGTGCTCTTTTGACTACACTATACTGGTGGGGTGTGTGTGTGTGTGTGTGTGTGTGCATATGCAAGTGTGCACTTGTGGCTTAATCATGGCCAAATTTCACTCCAGCTTCCCTGGAGTGGATCATAACAGCTTCTAGCTGGGGCCCCCACATTCCTTCCCTGGAGCTTCTCATATCCCTGAGATAATGTGGTTAAACACTTTTCTGAAGTAGTGGTGTAGTGACCACGAGGTTTTTTTTTTCCCCTTTTCTTTTTTCTTTCCTAAAGTGCTTTGAAAACACAGGATTTTAATACTTCCAAAGAGTCACAGAACTTAAATCTAGGTTCCAGGTTTAGACTTTAGTCCAATCTCATTATTTTACAGATAAGGAAACAGATAGAGGGGAAAGTGGTTTGTCTGAATCATTAAACAGCGGCCCCAGAATCCAGGTTGAGTCCAAATCCAATGACCTTTCCACTGACCCAAACTGAGATCTCTTGCAACACTGTAGTTATTATATACACCTTATCAACTCTTCCATGTCCTCCTATAAACTCTCCACAGGGATTCCACTCAGTGAAGCTAGCGGCCTTACTCTGGACCCTTCAGCATTTTGTAAGGACTAGATCTATCTCTATCTGTTGTTATGCTTTACTTGGCTACTTGGTTCATTTAATTTTTCTTCTGCCACTTTTTTCAATAAAGAGCACCAAAAGTAAATATGCTTGTAAGCTTATTTATGCCTACTCCTACATCTCTTTACTGCTCATTTTTGATTATTTAAAAGAAACCTGGTGTATTCCATGATTCACAGCTATAGTATCACTAGAGGTATTTGTGTTGAAAGAATGAATTTTTATCTTAGTTTTTTTTTTTTTTGTTTGTTTCAACAATTTAAAAGAACTTACACAATTTCTTAAATGCAATCCCCCCCCCCCCCCCGGAGGTTTTTCAGTTAGGTCCAGCCCAGTGGGTCCAATCAAGCAATGTCTGTCCAAGATAATGGGCAAAATGGCTGTCCTGGGCATGACAACAGAGCATTTGGAAAACCTTACAGCGTGCATTGTATATAAGTTTTATGAGCAATTATTTGTCTACTCTTTTCCTGTGTGGACTTTTAGAGGCTTAAACTGGCGTGGTTTTGAATTTCGCTTAGGAGGCAACTGTCTTTCCATGCCTGAAGCATTAGTATAGTGTTCCTGCAGACATTTAGGGGACTTCATCATTATGAATCTGGTGAAGCCTGTGGATTCCTTCTTAGAAGAAGGGTTTTAAATGCATAAAATATAATACAGAAGATTACAAGGGAAATCAGATTTCATTGAAATAAAGAAGGAACTGAGTCTACGGACTCCCAGTTAACAAGTCCTAATCTACAGGGATCCATTTGGACTTGTGGGGAGGAGGAAGAAGAAAAAGCAAAGGGAGAGTCGGAGGAGAGGAAAAGAGAGGGGGAAGAAGGGAGGAGGAGGGAGGGAAAGGGAGGGAGAGAAGGAGGGAGGGAGGGAAAGGGAGAGAGGGAGGGGGAGGGAGAGGGAGAGAGGGAGAGAGAGAGAGAGAGAGAGAGAGAGAGAGAGAGAGAGAGAGAGAAGCTAGCCAGCCCACTAAGAAAGCCAATGCTTTCTTGGGATTCAGGAAATAACCTGAAAGTCTGTTCCATTTTACTATGACTATGTCAGACCACATCTGGAGTATATTCAGTTCTAGATACTATATACTATATTTAAGAAGAATATTGGTAAACTTGAGGTGTCCAGAAGAGGGCAAGCAGGATGGTAATAACAGGCCTCAGGATCATGTAATAGGAAGATGAAGGAACTCTAGTTAGAGATGTTTAGTCAGAATATGAGAAATATTTATCTAAACAAACAAATGAAAAGCCCGTATTATATGCAAAGATACAAATAGAAAAGTAAGACAGTCCCTATTCTTGAGGAGCTCACATTCTGATGGTGGAAATAACACATATGGAAGGTTTCAGCTGCAAGTGAGATCATGGTCCTCAGGAAAAAGAAAACACAACTTAAATAATAATAGCTGTCTTCAAAGACGACCTGTCTTGTTAAAGAGAGATTGACATCTGACATCTCTGTTGCCCCGAGAGGACAAAAGTTGCAAGGAAAAAAAAGGCTTGATGTTAAAACATCTCCTGAAAAGTCCAGCAATATAACCAAAGTAGAATGGATACCTCTTACAGTTTTTAGGTTAGAATGGATTCACTCTCTCACTTGAAATTTGCAAAGGCTGGATGACCACTCAATGGTTACATTGTGGAAGGGAATTCTTTTCCATGTATGGGTGGACTAGAGAGCCACCAAGGTACTGTCTGACTCTGAAAAATCTGATGCTGGGATTTAGTTCCAACTCCGTGTTTTACAGATGAGAAAACAGGTTAAGAGAGCAGAAGTGATCTACTCAAAATCTCATTCAAGTGGATTCAGTGGCTTTGTTACCATCTCCAGTCCCAGGCTGTAGATATTCAATCCACTAGGTTCTTGGAGATTGCACACAAGAAAATGGAGAGGGTAAAAGAATACAAATCCATTCCTGACACTAGAGAAAATCCTTGAATCCCAATATCCTATGGAAATAAAAGCCAGGAGGGGCTGAGGAAACAAACAAAAAGAATGAGGGCTGGAATCCCAGAAAGAGGAGAGATTAGCACCCTTGTAAACTGGGGAAAGGGAAGGCTTCTCGGAAATATTACGTACACCTGTGGAAAAAAACACTATTACCATGAACCCCCAATTGGGAAAAAGGGGCATCTGGCATAGGTGCCACAAATTTACAGGGGCACTTCCTACCACTGGGCTCCACCCATGAAGTAGCATGAACTCTTTCCTCTCATGTCTTTTTGCTGTCTACTTTTTCTTCTTCCATCTGTCAAACTTTCCCTTCCTACTCTTGGTACTCAAGGCTAAAGAGGTTCACTGATTCTTCCTTTCATGAGACAGTGCATTAGAAACAGAGGTCTTGCTTCTCCCTGTAAGCATTTCATATGTTACCTATTCAAATTATTGTCTCTTACATTAGAATATAAGTTCCTTGAGGGCAAGAGGCTGATTTCACTTTTCCCTGTGTCTCCAGTGCTTGATTATATAGCACGGTGCTTGGCACATTAGAGCTTAATGCTTCCTAACTAGGGTATGCCAGTCCATGACGGATCTTGGAACTTTGGGTTATCCTTCAGAGAAGTCCTTTAGGAGAAGAGGCTGGTTTTGGAATCATGTCAGGGGATGACAGAAGACTTTTAAGACCAACATGGCCTGCAAGGTCTCTTAGGTCAGCTCTAAGTCCATGACTATCTATGATGCTGTATGTGTGATTGCTGGGAAGGATCACTCCTGGATGGGACCTCAGAGGTCTTCTATCTCACTAATCACCATCCTGAAACAAACTCTTTGATTCCAACCCTCTTTTCCACTGTAATACCTTGCAAGCACTCTCAAATAAGCTCATTTTATTTCTGACATCAGAACTCTTTATCCTAACCTCCACAAACTCCTTCATACTAATAATCATCTACCCAAAGCACTTTCCTCGCCACACTCCCTGTAAAGTTGCTTTGGTGAGTTGCATTATTAAGGGGGAAATAACTCAGGTGAAGTGATTAGCACTCATTATTCCCAGCCATTAAATGTTAATAAGGTTGACTAAGTGCATCATGATTCCTTCCACTCTACACTCATACCTGGCTCAGAAGATGAGGCAGGTTAAGGGACCATGCCATCAACTGTCTTTTCTAGGGAAAGGGAATGTAAATCCCTTTTTTGGGGGGGAGGGGGCAGAAATCATAGCACAGTCTTTATTATCAAAGTCTTGCATATTCAGAGTTAAGAGATGAAGCAATCTGCTTTTTAAGTCCTTTGAGATCAATGAGTCATTTGCTTTGAGGATCCCAAAGTTCTCCAGCTAGAGCAGGAAGGGGCCTCAGAAACTTAACCAGTTTAATCACTTCATTTCACAGATAAGGAAACTGGGACCCAGGGAAGGTTTAAACATGACTTGACCAGGATCACACAGGCAGTGTCATTGAGGGCATCTGAACCCAGGTTGTCTTGCCAGAGCCAGTCTGATTTTTTTCCACTCTATGTATGTACAAAGTCCAACCCTTTCGTTTTATAGATGCGAAGATTGTCCCCAAAACTTGCTTTGGCAGGTAATAAAAAATAGGTGGTCCTTGGACTCCAAAATCTAGTGCTCTGGGAAGCGGCCCCAGCCATCCAGAGAAGTTTTTTACCACCAAAAAAAAAAAAAAGCAAGCCTACCTGTTCTATATTCTGTATGTAGTTATAACATAATAGGCAAATCAAGAAGCATTTTTTTTAAAGGCAATTGGGGTTAAGTGACTTGCCCAGGGTCATCACACAGCTAGGAAGTGTTAAGTGTTTGGTCTGAGGTCGGATTTGAACTCAGGTCCTCCTGACTTCAGGGCTGGCGGGCCACCTAGCTGCCCCTTCAACAAGCATTTTTATGAAACATCTATTATGTTCTAGACACTGGGCATAAAAAGACAAAAATATAATCATTTTTGTCCTTAAAAAGGCTTATGCTCTATCAAGGAAATAGCCTAATAAATAAAGTACTTGTTGACTGCTTGGCTGTAAGGTTGAGGAATGTATCTTTCCGTCATACCACACTGCTTTGTCAATATTTTTTATCCAGTCAATATTATAGTAAATAGAGGAAACTGAGGTGGCCTTGTCTAAGACCATTAGTAGTTATAGCAAAACCAGGATACTGAGATAGGTAGGGCTCCTGCCTAGTACTAGCTCTTCCCATCACACCATATTGCCTCAGTAGATGCTCATCTACGTTTCATGAATCACACTTTCAGAATTGGAAGGGCTCTAGGAGACCATCTATACAGTCCAACAGATTTCCTAAGAAAATTGTCCAACCCCCAACAAATTGACCATCTTTTAATCTTCACTATGAGTCCTCCAATGAAGGGAAACCTATCACCTCTTAGAGTAGCCCATTCCACTTTAGAAAATTCCAATTATTAGGGGCAGCTAGGTGTACAGTACATACAGCACCAGCCCTAGAGTCAGAAGGACCTGAGTTCAAATCTGGCCTCAGTCACTTGACACTTACTAGCTGTGTGACCCTGGGCAAGTCACTTAACCCCAAGTGCCTCAAAAAAAAAAATTCCAATTATTAAAGAACTTTCCCTGATATCAAGCCTAAATCTGTCTCTGAAACTTCTATCACTGCAGCTTAGTTTTGCCCTATGGGGTTAAACAGGATGAATTTAAACCCTCTCCACATAGCAGCCCTTTACATTTTTGAAGACAATTAACTTGCAGCCAAGTTAAACCATCCTCTCAGCAAACACTGAGATAGCATAATGTGTGGTATGGAAAGGTACTCTGTAAACCTTGAGATCTTATATAAATGTCAGTTACTACCCACTGCAGGGAGTATGAAAATGAATTATTCCCTACAAACTCTAATATAAAGCTCTATCCATTGCCTTGAATATAAAACACAAATTCCTCAACTTGATATCTTCATAGTTAAGTCTCTAGAGCTGACCGGTTTGACTTTACGCTGGCCCCTACGCCTCTTTGGTTCTTGCTGCTTCCTCCATCCTGGATCACTCTCACCATCCTTTGTCTTTACTTGCACACTTGAAATTCTGGCAAGAGGAAGTCACACCATCTAACTGACTGGGTCCACTAAAAACTCAGGTTATCTAATCATAACTGAGCCATCGTTGCTGCAAGACAAATTTCTAATCTTCCTTGGTTAACTCTGTCCCACTAGCCACAGAGACTATTCTAAAATGTTTCTCCATGCTGTTCTCCACCTCACTTTTTCCTCAAACTGCTGTCACCTCTTACTTTATTAAGAAAATAGAAGCCATTTGTCATTTCTTCACCCATCCTCTCCTATATTCCCACCTCTGAGGAGGTAGCCTTTCTCCTTACTAAATAGTGCCATTGACTCCATCACCTCTTGTTTTCTCCATGGACTTGCCCTATCTCTTTCTCTTAGCTTCAATCTTTCCTTGTCTCAACTGGCTCATTCCCTGATGACTACATAATATAATAAAAAAAAATTTGCTTTCCCTTGACTCTGCCATCCCCTCAAGGTATTATCTGATATATCTCCACACTTTCCCAACCAAACTCTTGGAAAGAAACATCTATATTTGATGTCTCCAAATCCCTCCCCACCTGTTCACTTCTTAATCTCTTGCAATCTGGCTCCTAACCATATTATCACTTTACCACTGCTGCTCTAAGTTTACCAATGATCTCTGAACTGCTAAATCACATAATTACAGAATCTGAGAGTTGGAAGGAACTTCACTAGTAATCCAGTCCAACTCATAAATGAAAGGATAGCCTTTTATCAGTCTTCATCTTGACTTTTTATCTCATTTTTAAAAAATTTTTTTGGCAATTGGGGTTAAGTGACTTGCCTAGGGTCACACAGCTAGTAAGTGTCAAGTGTCTGGACTGAGGTCAGATTTGAACTCAGGTCCTCCTGACTCCAGGGTCGGTGCTCTATCCACTGCGCCACCTGGCTGCCCCTTCATCTTGACTTTTTTTTTTGCTTTTTTGGTGAGACAATTGGGGTTAAGTGACTTGCCCAGGGTCATACAGCTAGTAAGTGTCATGTATCTGAGATTGGATTTGAACTCACATCCTCCTGACTACAAGGCCAGAGCTCCGTGCACTGCACCACCTAGCTGCCCCTCATCTTGACTTTTTAACAGCTATTGAGAACACTGAACATAACCTCCTCATCCATACTCTCAATTTCCTAAATTTCATGACAAGACTGGTTCTAGTCCTACCTCTCTGGCCACTCTTTCTCAGTCTCTTTTGCAGAGGCATTACCCATCTCCCCCTCCCCCCAAGCACAGGTGTTCCCCAGGGCTGTCTATTTCTTCTTTACACTCTTAGGAAATAGCTCATAAGCTCCTATGGGTTGAATTATTATCTCTACATAGATGACTCTCAAATATATTTATCTTAAACTCAAAACTGTTCAGAAATAGAAAGCAATGACTTTGCCACCTCCACCTTATCCAAAAATCCCTCCTATTTGAAGACACACCATTTTCCCAGTCAGCCATCTTTTCACCATGTGGGAAGCCTTGTTGATTTCATGCCCCCCTTCCCAACAACTATATCTAACTCCGCCTATCCACTCACATGCCCATCACTACTTCAGACCCTCATCATCTCTTGCCTGGACAAGTAGAACCTCTGTTCACCAATTCTGCTTCCAGACTCTCTCTTCCCCAACCCATCCATACAGATGCCAAAATAATCTTCTTAAAGCACAAGTCTGACCATTTCATTTCTCTGCTCAAAAATCATCAGTGAATCCCCTTAATCTAAGGCTCAGCACAATCTGACTCCCACAATTGTAAAAACTTCCCAGCAAGCAGATTTATCCAAGAGTAGAGTGAACAGTGCTGTAGGAAGAAATGGGTTTCTCTCTCACCGGAAGTCTTTAAACAAAGGCTCTGTGACCACTTGTGGGGTCTTTTGAAAGGGAATTTTTGTTTTGAGTCCATGCTTTAGACTAGAAGACCACTGAGATTCCTTCCAACTCTGAGATCCTGTGATTCTGTAAGGATTACTGTTTGGGATACAGTAAAGTCAAGGACTTGAAGGTATTCCAGGGAGGTCATTTCTAATAGGCAGTCGAAAAATGTGAATTTAGTTTCAGCAAAGGTCAGGGCTGGAGTCATTGCCGGCACAGCCATTGCTGCTGGTGTCAAGGAGGTTGTCAAAAGAAAAATACAGGAGGACAAAAGCCTGGGCAGATCCATGTAAGGGATGTGGGCAATGAATGGGTCAGAAGTACCTGGGAGAGGAGCTTATCCTTTTAACACTGCAATATCTAGAATGGGCTGTGGGAAGGGGCCATAGAGATGACATTTGTTTTTTAAGAAGTAGAGGTAGTCAGCAATGTTGATGCTACAGAAGTGCAGGACGATGAAGACTGAATAAAGTCTTTAATTATAGGAGGTAAATTTGGTGACTAAGAGATCCCAGGTGACTGGGGAGAAAGCAGTTTTAGTAATGTTGAAGACAGATGCCAGGTTATAGGTGATGGAGAATGAGTGGGTGGTGAGGAAGAAGACCTGAAAATACTTGAAGATTGCCTTTTCTAGAACTCTGCCAGTGGAAGGCACAGGGAAGAATGGGAGCAGATTAAAGGGGAAGGTTTTTGTTTGTTTGTTTGTTTTTAAAAGATAAGGTAGACCTGATTAAAATTTAATGAATAACGTTAAAAATCAAAGCAAGCGGAGATGACTGAGTGGCAAAGCCACCATTGTTTCTGATAAATTATTGAAATCTGATTGACCTCCAAGGATCTGACCTTCCCCCAATGTCCATCATCACTTCACAGACAAATCTACCCTCAATCTTATCTTGGATCCTACTCTTTCCATATCCTGTGCACCCACACACCCACTGACCAAATCTGAGTGTAAGGCCTGTGAAACAGCCAGAAAGCAGAGCCAGGGAATGGTCAAGATGACCTCTAGAAGGAGGGAAGGGAAATAGGAGCCAAAGCTCTTACCCTTCACATCCTTCCATGAGTCCCATTCTTGCTAGGCCCTTTATTCTGCCCAGCTCCAAGTCTTAGCTAAAAGGGAGAGAGAGGGAAACCTGGGGCTGGGCCAGTACCAGCAGCCACTTTCTTCAGATTTCTTCATGGGGCTGTATAAACCTGGCACCAGCTTTCATGCATGAATACTGGAATGAACCACAGGATGTGGAACTGCATCCGAGCCCCACGAGACTCTATGAAAGCCACAGTGAGGGAGGGCATGGAGATGGGAGTCAGGGTGAAGGGTAGTAGCTAGGGGTAGGATTGAGGAGAACAGGTCATGAGCCTTAGAAGAAAGTTACAAAAAGGGCTTCTTTATTGAGAGCAGCGAGTTAAAAACCCCATCCCTGTGGCAGGCAGGGGGCAGGGGTGGCCCGGCCCTCCCCACCCCTCCAGACCCTCCCCTCCCTCCCTCCCCCCACAAACCCCACCTGAAGTTAAGTACAAAACTCGCCCATGGTGCATACAAAAGGGGCAGTAAATATAGTGTCAAAAGCTCCTGAAAAACTCCTTCATCTGCCAGGCACTTAGTAAGGGGAAAGGAGAGAGGGAAGGCAGAGCAGAGGGTAACAGGAGTAGGCCAGGCACAAAGACCAGACCCCTGGGGCATTCAAGGCAGGTACACACTCAGGAATGTCCCCCTCCGAATCCTGAGGCAGTCCCCATGTGCCTCACTCACTCAGGCACCTGAAGACTCCTAGACTGTCACCAATCTAGCCCTGATGCTTAGTCTTGGTACCTTAGGAAAAGTCCCAGGACCTGACCTGGCCTGACATCCGGGGAAGTCGGCAGGTTAAGTGGTAGGGCTAGGTGCCCAGAGCACAGAGAAGGCCTATGCTGCTCATTAGTATTACCTGAGGTGCCAATGCTGCTCCTGGTAAGGGGGGGGACAAGATGCCCAGCCCCCAGGTCCCAGTGACCCAGCCAATACAAGGGTCAAAGGAGCAAATGCAAGGGACTGAGTTGGGGGAGACAGGGAGGAAAGCCCAGGCTCTGCCCAGGCTCAGGTCTACCTGTCCATGCCAGGTCAAGGAGCCCAAGAGCAGAAGGGGAGAGGGAAGCCATGCCCAACCTGCCGCGAGGTCCATGGGAGCAGCTGGCACTCCCTGCTGGGCTTCCCCCCGTCCCTCGCCCATCCTGGGACACAGCCTGCCCCGGGACTCCCTCCTCACGGCTTTCCATCAGCAGAGCTCTCTCCGAGCACGTTAGCGATCTCACTGAAAGACGGCCGATCTTTGGGGCTGGGAGCCCAGCAGCGCTGCATCAGCCGGTACAACTTGGAAGGACAGCCCTCAGGCTGCTGGAGCTGCGCCTTTCCCGCCTGTAGGTCTGCGGCAGGAGAGGGGGGAAAGGATGCCTCCTCAGGTCTCTCCCTCCAACCCACTCTCTCCCCCCTGCCCCAGAGCCCCATAAGCACAGGGCTCAAAACCTGTGCACTCCCTACTCCCTTCCCATGGGGCCCACAGAATTCTTTGACAAAGCCAGTAGGGAGCCACAAACCTGAGGGGCCCAGAAAAGTTACGACAAGCTACCCACTAGGGGAAGTGGGTAGAGAGAGTGGGGTGTAGCCTCACTCCCCCTACCCCACCCTTCCAACCTCATTTCCCTGTCGAATCATAGATCTGGAGCTGGAAGGAATCTTAGAGGCAATGAAGTCTGACCCCCTCATGGAACAGGTGAGGAAACTGAGGCAAACAGCAGTTAAGTGACTTGCCCAGGGTCAAACAGCCAGTAAATGTCTGAGGTGACATTGGAACGCTGATCCTCTAAGTCCAATGTCCTATATGTTGCACTCCTGGGTAGAGACCCCTACCTGCCAGCACCTCGTCGTTAGCCTGCCCACCATGGGGCATCTCGCCGTGGGTAAACACCTCCCACATCAGCACCCCAAAGGCCCAGACATCTGACTTTGTAGAGAAGTCACCCTCCAGGACAGCTTCTGGGGGCATCCAGCGCAGCGGGATCCAGGCTTGACGGAAGTGGTAATATTCACTAGAGAACACAAAGGTGAGTCCTTAACAGATGATCTGGGGCCCAGCCTCAGCCCCCAAGGCAGGAATCCCTGATGTGTGAAGGGCCCTTGGCACTTTATAACCTCCTGAGAAGTCCTAATTTTTTCTCACTGTGAGTGACATCAGAGAAGCTTACAGGATCAAATGAAAAGAGTTTGTGTCTATTTTAAAAGAAGAGAGTTGAGCAGTAATATGTAAAAATGCTCCACCTATAGGGAGAGTAGAAGTAGCAACCCCTTTTTTCTGGGCCCCCGTTTTAGAATTCTCCATATTCAAAATCCTCTTCCCCCATCCCTACCCTATGCCCTACAGTTTAAAGTTTCTATGACTGTTATCCATACCATATGACTGTTATCCATGTTTGGCAGGGAATGAATGGGTAAGGATAGGAAAGGTCACATTGAGGAGGGGTACAGTACCCTCCCAGTAGCAGTACCTGTTGTAGACATCCTTGCTGAGGCCCAGTGAGGACACCTTCACTTGTCTCTGGGCACTGATGAGGCAGTTTCGGGCAGCCAGGTCCTTGTGTACAAACCTACTGTTGGAGAGATGTTCCATACCCAAGGCCACCTGGGTACAGAGGGACACCTGCCAGGGAGAAGAACAAGGGTGGTGGGGAAGGTTGGTCAGAGAAGCTGAAAGGAAGGAGTTGATGGCGACAAGCTTCACTCAGAGGTGGAAGAAAGAGAAAATGATTTGAAATAAGAGGACCTGGGTTCAAATCCCACACTGCCACACCACCTGTGAGACCTTGGGCAAGTTTTGAACCTCTTATGACCTAGATTTCCTCAGTGTAAGATCTTGGAAAGGTGTTTCACATACAGAATGCTGATGACACTGACACTTCTATACTGCAGCAGCCTGCCAGTTGGTCTCGCTGCATCAAATCTCTCTTCTACTCAGCTGTCAAACTGAATTTCCTAAAGTCTAGGTCTGACTATGTCACCTTCCCATGCAATAAACTTGAGTGGCTCCTTATGATCTTCAGGATCAAATATAACACCTTCTGTTGGGCATTTTTAAATATTATTTATTTTAAACATTCATTTTAAAAAATGTTGACTTCTGAATTCTTTCCCCCACCCATTATGAAGGCAAGACATGTGATACTAATTATATATGTGAAGTTATGCAAAACATTTCCATATTAGCTATGTTGCAAAAAAAAGCAAGAAAAATAAAGGAAGTGAAAAAATATGCTTCAATTTTCATTCAGACTCCATCAGTTCTTTCTCTAGAGGTGCACAGCATTTTTCTTTTTTTTAAATTAAAATTAATAAATTTATTTATTTTTAGTTTTCAACATTCACTTTTATAACATTTTTGAGTTCCAAATTTTCTCCCCTCTCCAAGATGGCATGCAATCTGATACAGGCTATACATGTACAATCACGTTAAATATATTTCCACATTAGTCATGTTGTGAAAGAAGAATCAGAACAAAAGGGGAAAACCATGAGAAAGAAAAAACAAAAACAAAAAAAGGAGAAAATAGTATGCTTTGATTTGTATTCAGACTTCACAGATCTTTCTCTGGATGCAGATAGTATTTTTCATCATGAGTCCTTTGGTATTGTCTTGGATTATTGTATTGCTGAGAAGAGCTAAGTCATTCACAGTTGATCATTGTACAATATTGCTGTTACTGTGTACAATGTTCTCCTAGTTCTGGAGAACTAGAACACTTCGCTCAGCATCAGTTCATATAAGTTTTCCCAGGTTTTTCTAAAAGCACCCTGCTCATCATTTCTTATAGCCCAACAGTATTTCCGATCACAATCATATACCACAACTTGTTCAAGCTGTGGTATATAAATGTAATGGAATACTATTGGGCTATAAGAAACAATGAGCAGGCGGACTTCCATCACAATCATAAACCACAACTTGTTCAGCCATTCCCCAACTGATGGACATACCCTCAATGTCCAATTCTTTGCCACCACAAAAAGAGCTGCTATAAATATTTTTGTACATATAGGGCCTTTTGTTTTCATCTCTTTAGGATACAGACCTAGTGATGGTATTGCTGGGTCAAAGGCAATGCATAGTTTTATAGCTCTTTGGATATAGTTCCAAATTGCTCTCCAGAACATCTGGACCAGTTCACCACTTCACCAATAGTGCATTAGTGTCCCAATTTTTCCACATCCCCTCCGACATTTGTCCTATTAGCCAATCTGATAGGTGACTCTGACCTCCATGCTGTTCTTCACACAGGACCCTTCCCCATCTCTCCAAACCATGCATTTTCATTGGCTGGCCCCCGTGCCTAGAACTCTCTCCACCATCTCTGTCTGTTGTGTTCCTAGTTTTCTTCAGGTCTAGCTAAAACCAAAGAAACCTTTCCCAATCCCCCTTTATACTAATGTCTTCCCTCTAAGACTATCTTTCCAATTTATCTTGTCAATATCTTGTGTTGTGTATACATAGTTGTTTGCATGCTGTCTCCCCATTAGACTGTAAACTTCTTGAGGGCAGGGACTGTTCTTTATATATTTTTTTAGTTTTATTTTTTAATTTAAAAATTTTTTTTTAAATTAATTAATTTGTTTTTAGTTTTCAACATTCACTTCCACAAGATTTTGAATTCCAAATTTTCTCCCCATCCTGTCCCTCCCCCCACCCCAGGACATCATGCATTCTGAATACCCCCTTCCCCTAATCTGTCCTTCCTTCTATCCCCCCTCCACTTCTCCTATCCCCTTCTCCTCCTATTTTCCTGTAGGGCAGGATAGATTTCTATACCCCATTGCTTATATATCTCATTTCCCAGTTGCATGTGAAAACAATTTTTAACATTTGTTTTTAAAACTTTGGGTTCCAAATTTTCTCCCTTCCTCCCTCCCCCCCATCCACTCTCATTGAGAAGGCAAGCAACTTGATACGGGTTATACATGTGTAGTCATACAAAATACTTCCATAGTAGTCATGTTGTGAAAAACTAACTATATTTCCCTTCATCCTATCCTGCCCCCCATTTATTTTATCCTCTCTTTTGACCCTGTCCCTTCTCAGAAGTGTTTGCTTCTGATTATCCCCTTCCCCAATCTGCCCTCCCCTTTATCATCTCCCCCACCCTGCTCTCTTATCCCCTTCTCCCCTATTTTCCTGTAGGGTAAGAGATTTCCATACCCACTTAAGTGTGTATGGTACTCCTTCCTTAAGCCAAATCCAATGAGAATAATATTCCCTCATTCTCTCTCACCTTCCCCCGCTTCTCCTCCACTGTAAAAGCCTTTTCTTGTCTGTTTTATGTGAGATAATTTACCCCATTCTCTCTCCTTCTCCCAGTATAATCCTCTTTCACCCCTTAATTTTCTTCTCCAGATATCACCCCTTCATTTTCAACTCACGCTGTGCCCTCTATCTATCCACATAATTTTTTGCCTCCAACTACCCTAATACTGACAAAGGTCTCATGAGTTACAAATACCATCTTTGCAGGGACAGTTCTTTCTCCTTTCTTTGTATTCCTGATGCTCAGAATAGTGCCAGGCACATAGTAAGGGTTATTAAATGCTTGTTGACTTGACTATAATGCCTTAAATTTATAAGGCACTTCCCCTCATAACAACCTTGGGAGATAGACAGAAAATATTATTATCCTTCATTTTACAGATGAGGAAACTGAGGCTCAGAGAAATTAAGGGATTTGTCCAAAGTTATAATGATAAGCTTCAAAATCAGAATTTGAAACTAATTTGCCCAATTTCAAGCCTTTCCATTGTATGGCTTCAATCCAGGTGTTGAGAGATAGGAAGAAGTCATAACAATGCTTCGTATTATCTAGTGGCGACTATGTGGATAGAGTGGTGCTGGACCTGGAGTCAGGAAGACCTGAATTCAAATACTTCCTCAGAGGCTTACTAACAGTGTCACCTTGGACAAGTCACTTAACTGTTCTACCTTAGTTTCCTCATCTGTAAAAGGGGAATAATAACAGCATCCACCTCCCAGGGCTGTTGGAGGGATAAAATGAGATAATGTTTGTAAAGTATTTTGTGACCTTTAAAGTGCTATATAAATGCTAGCTATTATTTGTATGGTACGGTCCTGGCCAGAGACTCAAGGCATGTATGCATCCAAGGGACCAGTCTAGGCCCATTACCAGTACGTTAGCAACTAGGTAATGAATGCTTTGGCCACGGTACTCCACCTGTTTAGTTCGTTATGATTTTCAAGGTACGTCTATATTCATCATTTCATTTGAACCTCAAGGTAAGCTTGCTAGTCTTGTTTTTTACAAATGAAGGAAAATGGAAGCACAGAGGGGTTGGGTAGCTTGCCTCAGGTTGCACAGCAGGTTGGTGGGAGATCTGGGATTAGAGCCCTTACCTCCTAACCTGTGTTCCTTCTACTACATACATGGCTTCTCAGTCCCCACAGTAAGAGAAGGGGGGACATAAAACACAGATTTTAGTCACTGGGGAAAAATAAGAGTGTAGGGAATGGGAATGCCCAGCACAGGGGAGTAATTATTACTGGTCCTGGGGCAAGTAAAATAACTGTAATTATGATGTCCCAAAACATGCTATTGCTTGTTTGGCCTGTGGGTATAGATGTGGATGTTACAAAAAGAGGTCCCCAGATGAAAGTCAGTGTCACTAATTCTGAGCCACTTCAATAGCCAGGAAGGTCAGGCTTCCACTGAGTTATACGAAAATTGCTAAGGCAGAGAGAAAATGGACCCACATTACTAGGAAAGCTGCCACTCTAAGATAATCACTTCTCTTAGATGTAGTCTATACTGGGATTACAGCAGCCTTGAAAGACCTGCAGTCTATACTATCCCCAGACAGGTATGGTCTATACTGGCCAGAGAATTGCTAGCTAATGATTATTTATCATTTGTGCAAAGAAGCACCTGAACATTACCATTGGTGGGGTCAGGTGGGTGGGGGGGATCCACTTCTGAGGCAGGGATGGGTATGCTATACTTTCTGGGTAACAAAAACTTCAGTAAACACCAGCACTTGGTTTGAAGATTCAAAGAGCACCCCCCCCCACCCCCTGCCAAGGGTGTTCAAACCAGTGGCTGATAGGAAACATGTTGATATTATTTTTCATTTTTTTCCCCAATAGCAGTGAAACAAAGAGAAAAATAAATGTTTATTAATTGCATTAATTGGCTAAAAGCCTTCAAGTCATCTCTGATTCCTTTATCTACCAACTCCCTAAAACTAATCATCAGCTATCTGACTCTAAAACTTCTCTCCTATCCATTCCTTTCTCTGCTCATACTGGAACCACCTGAGTCCAGGTCCTCATTATCTCCAGCCTGGACTATTTTTTTTTTTTTGAGTGAGGCAGTCGGGGTTAAGTGACTTGCCCAAGGTCATACAGCTAGTACAAGTCAAGTGTTTGGTTTGAGGCCGGATTTGAACTCAGGTCCTCCTGACTTCAGGGCTGGTGCTCTATCCACTGCACCACCTAGCTACCCCTCCCAGCCTGGACTATTAAAACAGACTATGGTCTCTCTGCCTGTGGTGTTTTCTCCTTTGTCCAGTCTCATTTCTCTCTCTCTCTCTCTTCAACTATCAAGGATTTATTTCTTCTCCGTCCCACTCCCCACCACATCTCTCATG